TAAATTCGAGTTTTGGCTGTCTTTATCAGTCCCTCCCAGTTCGTCATTCACCTCTTTAGGTATTTGCCTCATTTTCTTAATTGTAGGGAAACTGTTCTCATGATACACAAAGTCACCCATTACTGTCACTTTCTCTGTACTTACCACCAGCAAGCTGTCTGTGATTTAAGCCAAGGCCAACCCTTCAACCCGGGGACTCACTTCTATTCTGTTACTTCTGCACCATGACATTGCTCCAGCAACTCCCCTTTTCTCTCCTGCATCATTAAGTTATTTCTCTTGACTGGATCTTTTCCATCAACATCCAACATACTATTGAATGTATCTCCTACCTTAAAAAACCCTCTTGATGCTATTTCCTCATTTTTCTGCAACTCTGTGGAACGAACCTCTCTAAAGCAGTTGATTACACTTGTTATCACCAATTGCTCTCTCTCTCAAATCCACTCGTTATGCCTTTACTTCAGTCTCTCACCTTAGTTTATTCTTCTCAAGGCCAGAAATGATCTCTGTTATTAAATCTAATGATCAACTGTGAGTCCTCATCTTACTTGGCAGATTGGCAACATTCATGCAGTTGACCACTTTCCCTTGAAATACTTATCTCTCTTGGCTTCTAGTACTCTCCTGGTTTTCCTTCTACCTCACTGGCTATTACTTCTCAGTCTTTGCTCATTCGTTCCTACTTTTCACCTCAATTTTTTAAATTTATTTTTAAACATGGGTGATCAATATCAGTAACCTCAGATATGCAGATGACACCACCCTTATGGCAGAAAGTGAAGAAGAACTAAAGAGCCTCTTAATGAAAGTGAAAGAGGAGAGTGAAAAAGTTGGCTTAAAGCTCAACATTCAGAAAATGAAGATCATGGCATCTGGAAATATTTCATGGGAAATAGATGGGGAAAGAGTGGAAATTGGCTAACTTTATTTTGCGGGGCTCCAAAATCACTGCAGATGGTGATTGCAGCCATGAAATTAAAAGGTGCTTACTCCTTGGAAAGAAAGTTATGATCAACCTAGATAACATATTAAAAAGTGGAGACATTTTTGTCAACAAAGGTCCGTCTAGTCAAGGCTATGGTTTTTCCAGTAGTCATGTATGGATGTGAGAGTTGGACTATAAAGAAAGCTGAGCACCGAAGAATTGATGCTTTTGAACTGTGGTGTTGGAGAAGACTCCTGAGAGTCCCTTGGACTGCAAAGAGATCCCACCAGTCCATCCTAAAGGAGATCAGTCCTGGGTGTTCATTGGAAGGACTGATGTTGAAGCTGAAACTCCAATACTTTGGCCACCTGATGCAAAGAGCTGACTTATTTGAAAAGACCCTGATGCTGGGAAAGATTGAGGGCAGGAAGAGAAGGGGATGACAGTGGATGAGATGGTTGGATGGCATCACCGACTCAATGGACATGGGTTTGGGTGAACTCTGGGAGTTGGTGATGCACAGGGAGGCCTGGCGTGCTGCAGTTCCTGGAGTCGCAAAGAGTTGGACATGACTGAGTGACTGAACTGAACTGAACTGATCATTAGAAACATATCTGGGGCTTTGGAGAAAAAATAATATGCACCTGGATTTTAAAAAGTGATTATAGGTTTTTCTATTAAATGGTAGCTTTGGTGACACAGAAATCTGTTATTTTTCTGTTGACTAGTCATGATACAATGGTATTATGTGAGTAATACTTACATAATCACAATAGTAAAAGATGTTTATCAGTTTTCACAATCAATAGCCAGATAAAAAGTAAAATATAATTACAATTGCAAGCCATAATGGGAACATGATTAACTTAACAATATAAAATAATTACATATAATTTGGGGAGTCAAGCAGAGTGATGTGGTGAGTGGTAGTGCATACATGCCCATCTGCCCAGCCAGTCTATATCTTTTGGTTGGTGCATTAATCCATTTATATTTAAAGTAATTATCAATATGTATGATACTATTACCATTTTCTTAATTGTTTTGGGTTTATTTCCTGTAGGTCTTCTCTTTTATGTTTTCTGCCTAGAGAAGTGTTTTTAGCATTTGTTATAAAACTGTTTTGGTGGTGCTGAATTCTCTTAACTTTTGCTTGTCTGGAAAGCTTTTGATTTCTCCATCAAATCTGAATGAGAGTCTTGCTAGGTAGAGTATTCTTGGTTGTAGGTTCTTTCCTTTCATCACTTTAAATATATCATACCATTCCCTTCTGGCTTTGTAGAGTTTCTGTTGAGAAATCAGTTGATAACCTGATGGGAATTCCCTTGTATGTTATTTGTAGTTTTCCCCTTGTTGCTTTCAATATTTTATCTTTGTTTTTAATTTTTGTCAGTTTGATTACTATGTGTCTCGGTGTGTTCCTCCTTGGGTTTATCTTGCCTGAGACTCTCTGTGATTCCTGGACCTGATTGACTATTTCTTTTTCCATGTTAGGGAAGTTTCCAGCTATGATTTCTTCAAATACTTTCTCAGGTCCTTTCTATCTCTCTTCTCCTTCTGGGACCCTTGTAATGCGAATGTTGGGGTGTTTAATGTCCCAGAGGCCTCTTAAGCTGTCTTCATTTTTTTCATTCTTTTTCCATTCTTTCATTCTGTTCTGTGGCAGTGATTTCCACCATTCTGTCCTCCAGGTCATTTATCCATTCTTCTGCCCCAGTTATTCTGCTATTGATTCCTTCTAGTGTATTATTTATCTCTGTTTGTTTGTTCTTTAGTTCTTCTAGGTCTTTGGTAAACATTTCTTGCACCTTCTCCATTGTTTTCCCGAGGTCCTGAATCATCTTCACTATCATTATTCTAAATTCTTTTTCTGAAAGTTTGCCTATCTCCACTTCATTTAGTTGTTTTTCTGGGGTTTTATCTTGTCCCTTCATCTGGGACATAACTTTCTGCTTTTTCATCCTGATTAATTTTCTGTAATGTTTTTTGTTCTAGCCTCTGTGAGATTGCTGTTCTTTTTTTTTTAATTGAAGGATAATTGCTTTATAGAATTTTGTGGTTTTCTGTCATACATCAAGAATCAGCCATAGGCACACCATGTCTCCTGCCTCCCAGACCTCCCTCTCACCTCCCTCTGCACTCCAGCCTGTCGCAGAGCCCGTCTGAGTTCCTGAATCATACAGCTAATCCCCACTGGCTATCTCTTTTACACATGGTCTTGTAAATTTCTGTAAATTCATCAGCACCATCTCTTCAGATTCCATATATATGTGTCAGTATATGATATTTATATTTCTCTTTCTGACTTACTTCACTCTATATAATGGGCTCTAGTTTCGTCTAATTTGAATCATTAGAACAGATTCAAATGCGTTCCTTTTATGGCTGAGTAGCCTCTGTAGGATTGTGGTTCTTGCTTCTTTTGTCTGCCCTCTGATGGAGGAGGTTAAGAGGCTTTCGCAAGCTTCTGTGTTGAGAAAAAAATGTTGGAAGTATGATCTCAGGCAGAAGCTGGGAGATTAGTCATGTTACTGTTGCAGTAATCATAGCATCAGAGAGAAAAATGGTCATGTTCTGAATTCATTTCATAAGGTGTAGCCAAGAGGATGGTTTGGATGTGAATGATCAGGAAAAAATGTCAAAGATGACACCACTGTTTTTGTCCAGAACAACTGGAAAGATGGAATTGCTATTAACTGATGTGAATACTGTGACTGGAGCATGTTTTGTATATGTAATTAGATGATGGGGCAGGGACTCAGGAGTTTACTGTTGTTTAGTTTGAGGTGAATATTGGACATTCAGGTATTTATGTTGATTAGACAATTTGGGCAGGTGAGACTCTGTCCCATGAAATCATGAACTCCATTGTGTACGTCCTATGTCTTTGCTGTGATTGTGATAGTACCTTGCATGTTTGTGATAGTACCTTGCATATAGTAAGTAAGCAAATATTTTAATTGAATATAAGATACTTCTCAAGGGTTTTTTTTTTCAAGTATTTTTCTCCCCATTTTTACTTTGGCTATGTGGTGCAGCCTGTGGGATCTTAGTTCCCTGACCAGGGATCAAACCCATGCCCCCTGCTGAGTTCTAACCAATGGACCACCAGGGAACTCCCTTCCAGTTTTAAGATATAATTGACACATGGCACTGTTAGTGTACAGCATAATCAAGGTTATTTTTATTGTGACCCTTCTGGGGTCCTCCTAAGAAGAATACTTCAGTAATCCTGCGGCTGGATTCCCTGTTTCATTACATGTCATACTAATGTAATGATTTGTGTGTCTCCCCACTTGTCATTCATTCCATGCAGCTGATAGGCAGTGGGAGTGGGATACAGGCAAGAGAGCTCCAGTAGCCTCCCAGGTGTGTTCTCCAGAAAGATCTAACCAATAACCACCTGGTGGCAGAGAGGGGAGAGTCTACCATTTGCTTCTGACATTATTTATATTAGCTATATGCTGTTGATATTAAACCAAAGCACCTCCTCAAAGTTGGAACACTGGCACTTCCCTCCAGATTGTGGGCATATATAGAAATCATCAATGAATTTTGCTTGTGGGATTCCTGGCCACTCCTTCTTGACAGTACTATCCTCAGGCCCACAATGGTCCTCTGTGCCCAAGGATGCCAGGATAGAAGTCAAACCTGACCTTTACTTTCAGTGTACCTTAGACAAAGGCCTTCCTTCTCTGCTTAAGTCCTTTTCTCCACAGTCCAGTGAGGGGGGTGTTGTGTGGAATGCTGACCCAGCTTAAGTGTGAGTTATAGCTCCTTTTCTAGATAGGAAGAACATTTACTTCCCATGTGCCTTTCCTGAACACACCACAGTGGAGAAAAGAGCAGACACACAACTCTCTGCTTAGAGATACAGAGTGTATTTTGGGCAGTATTCTGCCCACCTGTACATTAATGAAAATTACAGTAGCATCCTCTTCAAGGGATGCAGACATTGGGTAGACTATGAAGTCTTTTGATTGTGCTGGGTCTTCTTGAGCAGACCAGAGTTTTTGTCGGAGGTGACAGCCGAGGGTCAGGGTGGGTTCCCTGGGTGGGTGGCACAAACCACTCAAGGGCCGTGCCGAGGGCAGTGGTGGGGGGTGCTCAGGACAGAGGCTGAGTGGAGTCGATGCGAGTGGGAGCGGTGCCGGAGCTTGCTGTCCGGGGACCGGGGTATGTCCATGAGGGCCAGGCCTGTCTGCTTCTCAGGGGGTGGAAATTGGGCCTTCAGGTCCCCTCTTGTCTTCTCTGTTTTAGTTCTCTCCTTGGGACTTTTGGCTGGAGCCAGGCTCTTGGCTACATTTACTTTTCTTGTGTTAGCCATTTTCTCAGAGGTGGAGGACATGGATTCCTTATGCCCTTTGCCTTTTGTTTTGAGGTTAATACAGCGCAAAAAGGATTTCATCTTATTTCTAAAGCCAGAATCTGGAAGACTGGGCCTCTGGTGAGTATAGCCTGGCATCACTGGCCCCTGCAACACCTGACCATGTAAAGTGTGGCCCCACAATGGGTTACCTGGAGTGAGTTGGCCCAAGAAAGGCTGGCCCTGTGACCCCTGGGGCACCACAGGCTGGGCATTCTCAGGAACTCTTGCTGGTTTGAGGATGACGTTGAGCTTGGCTTGACTGGCTCGCCGGTCATTCTCAGAGTCTTTCCCCTCGGGGACTCCAGGAGGTAGCTCTGGGAATTTAAGCTGAGGTTGATGCTGAGGACTCTGCTGGCACGGAGCATCACGGTGAAAATGACGTCTCTGGCGACAGGAGCTGTGGGGTGTCCTGCTCAGGAGCAGCCCTTCTGGCCTCTGTGCTTCAGTTGAGTGGCTTTCTTCTCTTGTGGAGGAGAGTGTGAAGCTTGCATCCCCTTCTCCGCGGTCCCCAACTGGTTTGGGTTTGCCTGGTTTCTTTCTCCTTTCTGCCAGTATGGGAACATGGGCTGAGCCCTTGCTCTTGCCAGGCCTGTGGGGCTCAGAGCCCCAGGGCTCCTCCAGGCTGGGGCCGTCCACACTGGCTTCTAGCTGAACATAGAGTGCCCGGGCCTTGCCCTGTGTTGTGTCCCCACTGGACTCTGAGATCTGGGCGGCCCAGTGGACAGAGTCACGGTGTGCTGCGCTGAAATGACATTGCTTCTGTTTCTGATGCACTGTCTTTAACTCTGTGGCTAGCTCTTCTGTGAGGTGGAGCCATTCTGCATCTGGGGAATGTGGCATATCTGGTGGAACGGGGAGATCCTGGAGTGGTAGTTTTCCTTGGTTGTCTAGATTCCCAGGAGACTCCTTTGTGCACATGTTCTTTGGCTTTGCTACAGTTAGTTCTCTGGACTCCCTTGCCTTTAGGGGAATTCCCAGTTGTATCTCTAAGATCTTCTTTCTCAGATGGAAATTTAGTTTAGTCAAGATGGGTTCCCTGAGTGAGTAGGGCCTCGCAGGCCCTGTCTGGCTTTCTCGAGGCACCATCTTGATTATTCCTTCCGTCTGCACTTCAGCCTGGAATTCATCTGCAGCATCTGTACAAGCCTCATTGCCATCTTGAAAGCCTGGCCCAGGACTCAGACCCTGCTCTTCAGGTGAGGGCACCTGAGTCGGAGGTACTGTTGGGAATTGGACAGGTTCAGGCACCACCTCTGTCTTCATAGCTGGGGAGGTGATTGCTGGAGCCATAGCTCTGGAGAGAGCCACATAATAAAGAGCAGGCAGCCCTGACAAGAAGGCCAGATACTTGTGCTGTAAAGTTGTCTTCAGTTTCTCAATGGCTCCCTGAGACAGGGCCCAGGGCAACTTAGGATGTTTAATGAGAGCATCTGATGAGGCTTGTTGCTGCTGGTCAAGGGCCGCTGGCATCCAGGGTGTAACTTCCTGTCGTTTGTCCAGGTCATCTGCTGCCTGTAGTTCCAGGGGCTTGCTTTCTGGGATGCAGGTGACGGGAGCTACTTGCAGGCCCCCAGGAATTCTGAACTCACAAGAGCCACGTATGTAGACAGGAACCTTGCCCTGGTGAATCTTCTCACATTTGGAGTCAACATGGCTCTGCAGAATTGCCTTGGCCTGGTCAATCACGTGTGGCATAGGGGCTGACACTGGGTCCTTAATGGCTGGGAGTGGGTTGCCAACCCCAGAGCCCTCTAGAGCTGTAGGTTGGGGGACATTCACATTGTCCAGGGCTATGCTGCTCCAGGACAGAGTCTGCTGGCCAGCGGGGGGCAGGAGCAACTGGATGGACTGCTGGATTTTCCAGGGCAGGCTCCAGTGATCACGAACCAACTGTCTCTGGAGGTGGAATTCCAGCAGCCTCCTGGCATGCTCTGGGAAGAATAGTTCCTTTGTGATGGTGGAGACAGGCTGACCTGGCCAGGAAGTTTTTACAGTCTCAGAAGACTGGGCTTGGTCAGCGGGCTTACACTGCATGGGGCTCTCAGTGTGCTGATCTCTTTTGAAAACATCTGGAAAGTCCCACTGAAGCTGGAGCTGCCTCCGCAGCAGGTGCCACTCCAAGGCTTCACATTCGTCCAGAGTCAGCAAGGGGCTACTGATCTGAGTTTGTTGGTGCTCAGGTGGAGCTGTCCAATTTGGGGAAGATGGAGAAAAGGGTAGAGCTGACTGGGGCAGAGTTTTAGGTATCAGAGGGAAGCAGGAGTGCTCCTTGAAGAGAAAAGGATCCTTCAAGGGGTGCTTGGACATGCTCCCATTCATGGAGAGGCCTTGATAACCCAAGAAGGTGTCAACCAGGGACTCACTGTGCAGAGAAGGGAGGCCACAGAATAGCTGACTGTATTTCAGCTGCACAGGGCCCCCTGAATCACTAGCCTGTTGCCCAGGCATTAGATAAAGGTCACTTAATTCTTTAAGAGCTACATAGGGTGAGGCTAGAGTTGTATGGTTTGGGATTTGCTGGTAGTAGTGTCTTTGTTCTGGGTCCATAATGGACCATTCAGAAACCCAGAAGGCCTGGGTGGGTTGGCCAGCTATACATGAGCCCCAGTTCTGGTATGAAATGGTCCCAAATTTCTCAACAGAGAATGGAGAAATATCATTTTGGATGAAAGAAACTGGTTGATTATGTACCGGGTGGCAAAATAGTGGTGGGTTTGGCATAAGCTGCCTCAGGGACTCTTCCACACGTCTGGGGAGCCCCCACCTCTGGAAATGCATCAGTCTTCTTACATGTACCTCAAGAAGCCTCAGGACTTCAGGACTAAGGAACGGCAGGTGGGCAGGGAGGACAGTGACCATGCTTAAGGCCGTAGGATGTGTTAAAGCTGTGATTTCTTGATTCAGGGTCAGCACAGAGACCTGGGAATTCAAGGGCTGCTGGCCTTGGTTCCCATAGACAAGGTTGGGGTGGCTCTGGATTATCTCCGGCAGGTTCACTGAAACCCTTGGCTCCTCAGATCTTGAAGAAAGCATAGTCTCTGGGCCCCTGGGAACCTCTGGCATTTGAAATCCCTGCCTTAGCTTGAGGTGTTCAGCCCAGCAATCACAGATGCCAGCTGTACCAGTTGACTGGGCCACCGTCAGTTCCAAGGATTTCTGTGACACTGTGAGGTTTGCAGATGGAAGCGAAGGGCCTTTGGAGTGTGGGGAACGATGCTCCATACTTTCCTGGAAAGACACTTTAGGCTTGGACAAAACCTCTAGGCAAGAGGAACCCTGTGCTGGCCCCCCTGAAGTCGGGGAGACCGGGGTATTCTCATCTGCCAGCACCTGCTGAATCTCCAGAGCCATGCCGTTGCAGGTTTGGCAGCAGGGATCTTCACACAGGAGCTGCCGCACACTCCCCTCTTGAGGAAGCCAGCCCTGGCTGGAGAGGGAAACATGGCAACCGTCTGTTACTGATGGAGTGATAGCTGCTTCTTTGGCCTGAGACTGGGCTGCCCTACCCTAGTCCTATAGGCTCAGAGGCTTGCCTCTGCTGCCTGTTTACTCGTCTATTTTTTTCCCCTAGGGAAATGACATTTGGCAAGTTATGGTGAGCTGGGCTGAGGGCCTGGGGCTTATTGGATGAGGTCTCAGACAACTGATGGGAGCACAGGGCCTTGAGAGAGCAGGTGGTGGGTGAGTCCTTTGTGACCTGTGTTGAGAAGCTGAGCTAGGAGAAGGAACCAGGCAGACAGGGGATGCAATGTTTAGCTGATGGAACAGCACCAGGAACATCACCATGTAGAACCTGGAGTCATTCTCTTTAGGGGCTGAGGCTGTGGCCTGGTATTCAGTATTTCCAAACTATGAAAAAGGAGATCCTTTCGGGAACTCTGTTCTGGGGATTAAAGAGTGTACACAACATCTCTTGAGAGTCCGTCCCCTTTCTCTAGAGATCTAGAGAAGAAAGAATTAATATGACAAGCTCCTGTCTGAGGGCTGTCCCAGGAACTGACCTCCCTGAAGACAGAACCAGAAGAGGTAATGTCAGCAGGGTCCAGGGGTCTGCCCTTGAATGGGTGTAGCTATAAAGAGAATATGAAAATGATGAATTAATTACGCACTTAATTATCTATTCTCCTGACTGTATAACTTGTCTTGTGGCTTGAGTGCAAAATCATGTAGAGTCTTTTATGAACTAGTGCATCTACTAGTGAACTCCTGAATTCCAGGGCCACTTAAGCCTGGCACAGAGAACTAGGACACTCTCTTCTCAAGTAGCTGAGTGCCCCTTGCCCTGGCAACCCTCCAAACCAGTGCTCCAGGCTCCAATGTGTCTGGCTCCCTCCCAGCCATTCTCCTTCTCTCCAACCTTGTCACAGGTCAAGCAGACAAATGATCACAGGCCAGGCTTAATTGGGAGACCGCAAAGAGCAAGAGATCACCTTCTCATGACAGAAAGCAGCTCCCACGGCTTCTCAGCTTCTTCCTGGGAAAGTCTCCTAGCTGAGAAACCAGGAGACAGTGTTACATGGAGCAGGAGAGGGTTCAGGGACATCCTATAGGAAGCCTTTTAATGAGAGGAGATTGCAAACTCCAACAGTGAGTGCTGTAAAGCACGTCTGTGTATGACTTAACTAGTATGATGTGCTCTTCTGGGCCTGCTCTCATTTGATCTTCACAACTATGCTGTGAGTGAGGCAGGATCATCAGATACTGTTTCATAGGAACAAGACTGAGAGATGAAGAGACTTCCAGAGGGTCATAAAACTAGTAAGTGACACAGTTAAGGCCTTCTCCTGTGTTTCCTCTCTTTTCGTTCCTGGGGGTAAGGTGGACTTTAGAACATTCCCAGACTCTGATTTCCCATCCCCCCTATTTTTTCCTGGGAGAATTTGTCAGCTTAGACAATGGAAGTCTTCAGTGGTTAGAGTACCTGGCTCCTGGCACCAGGGCCCATCAAGGGACAGGGTTCTTTGCCCACAGTGGAGGGGAGTCAGAGCAGAGACTGAGACTTTACCTCTTGACGCTGCATCTCTAGCCCCTTGTCTGACTTTTCGGTGACTCTTAAAGAAAAAGAATTAAGAATGTGAAGCTGGGACACCATTTTTTTTTCACATCCAAAATGAAAGAAAGGAAATATACATTTCCCAGTCTCTGTCTGTATATCGGTCTGTATTTTATACACTCTTCTATATGTTTGTTCTGTACTCCAGCTTTTCACCTGAACATTTCATTTTTTAAATTTATTTCACACTTACTTCAGTGCTTTCCATATTCTATACCTCCTATCTCCTTTCTCAGGACAAGTTTGTCAGGGGGGCTTAGTGCGATACAGGAGGAATAATGGAACTGATTAAATGGTTGGTGGTTCTCAGCCAAGGACTTCCGCTTACTAAGTCCACCAATCAGAAAAATCCCCCATTTTGGGAGGTCAGAAGAAATCCAGTGAGGTAGATTCCATTTTATCTAGCACTCAACCCAAGTCAGATAGAAATTCTCAATTTTTCAACTAGAGTATACAGAAGGGGTGGGCTAGCAGGGCATTATTTCTAGGCTCTGAGAAAGAGAAGTACTATAAAGAGTAACTGAATGTGTCTTATCTAAGACTTAACTGGTGCAGCCACGGTCATAGTGTTTCCCTACCGGGCAGCAGCTCCTTTCATGTTCCGTTAATCCATGGTAACTCTCTTTCACTTGCCAGATAGTTAGGATAATAATGCAGATGGAGCCACAGATACATAAGAGATACCCTAAGTCCCACAGAGCGGAAGTCGGGATCAGCATGGTCTAAAACCTCAGTGGCATGAGGAGACCAAGTCTTCCTATTTGTAGGCACTCGGGGGCCTGGTGCCTGATGGCTCTCCCCGCCGCGCCTGTGGTCCCCACCTCACAGAGGACGGAACCAGCCGTCAGACGACATCACAAAGCCCGCCTGTGCCGCACGGCAGGTGTGGTGTCAAAAGACAAAGCTGTCTAGGGAAGCTCACGTGGTGGCTCAGCCTGCAAATGAGGGTATCTTGCTCTGAGGGCTGAGGGTGCCGCTTGCAGGCAGGGTCTTTGCTTCCACTTTGTCTTCACTCTCCGGAGCCTCCACCGGCCTGACAGCTCTGCTCTTCCGTTGTGAGAGCTGTCTTGTCAGCCATCCACTGAAAACGGAGCGTTTAGGAGCACTAGGTGCCTTCTGAGGGACAGTGGCCGGGACAGAGGAACCGCCGCAAACTCCACCTGCACTGAACATGTGTGTGAGGAGCATACGTTAGCTCAGGGACGGCAGAGACTGGTCATTGCTTGGGAATGGAGAACTCGACGGTCGCTGTGGGCCTTCCTTGCTGCTCCTGGGCTTTCTCTAGCTGTGGAGGGTGGGGGCTCATCTCCAGTTGTGGACCACAGGCTCCAGGCGTATGGGCTTCGGTAGCTGCAGCGTGCTGGCTCAGTACTTTGGGGTTGCTGGCTCTAGGGCTCGCGGGCTTCAGTAGTTAAGCACAGTGGCTCACTGGGTAACTTTTAGGCATGACGGATGTTTTCCAATCACTCCCAAGACCCATCATTCTTACACCTTGATTATTAGATTTAGACATTATGTTACCTGCTTGGCTGTCTGTGGATACTGTGATCTGACTCCAATATCTCAAAATTTCTGAATTTCCTTGAGAGAGTCTTTCCCTGGTAAGTGGTCTCACAGCCAAAAAATTCTTGTCCTTACTATCTCTGAAGATACCACTTGGCCCTTCCTCCAGTGTCCAGTTCTCCATCCATCTGGCATGGTGAGTGATCAATCTGTGCTCAGTCCTAAGCTGGACAGTGTCAAGGGTACAAAGATATTTTCAGTTATGTTGCTTTTAGAGCCAGCAACCCAAAACCACCTCACTGGTTTCTAAGATAAGACTAATCCACATAAAATAAGAACCAGCAATGGAAAACAAATGGAATCATTTATTTATCTGTAAGGCACTCTACCTCTAGCAGAGGTGCATGTGCGTGGACTGGATTGGGCTTGAAAGGAAATACTGGAGGAGCAGGAATGAGTTCTCTTGATGGAAGCATTTATTTTATTTCAGTAACTTAAAATTGTTTTTTAAAAGTAGGCACACAAAATTGCAAAGGCAGAAGAAGGTATGTAGTATGTCTCTTTCTCATCTTTCTCTCCCCTTTTCCTTCCCTGTGTGTCTTTCAGAATTGATTTAGGAATTGATTTGGGATAGGAAGTATAAATAAAGTGATATTTTTTCACAAATGAAAGCATATTATAGACATGGTTTTTATCTTGTTTTATTTAATAATATGAAAATATCTTGTGTATATTTTGCAAATAGTTTTTAAATTGAAGTATAGTTGATTTACAATGTTGTATTAGCTTCTGATGTGCAGCAAAGTGATTCAATTTTGCATATATATATTTCAGAATATTTTCTATTATAGTTTATTATAAGATATTGAATATAATTCCCCGTGCTATACAGTAGGACCTTGTTGCTTACCCCAAACTTGTATCTGCTAATCCGAAACTCCTCTGACTGCAGCAGGGCCTTTGCCCTGGCCCCCAGGCAGCATGCTGACGGACACCTGGCAGCAGGTGAAGGTTTACATGCTCAACGAGGACCATCAGTGGGACAACCGGGGCACCAGGCATACCATCCAGCTACGTGGAGTGGCTGCAGGGCATGTCCCTGCTAGTCAGGGCCTGACAAAATGTAGTCCACCTGAGAAGGGAATAGCAAACCATTTCAGTATTCTTGCCTCAAGAACCCCATGAACACAACAAAAGGCAAAAAGATATGACGCAGGAAGATAAGCCCCCCAGGTCAGTAGGTGTCCAATATGCTATGGGGGAAGAGCAGAGAAATAGCTCCAGAAAGAATGAAGAGGCTGGGCTAAAGCAGAAACATCATTCAGTTGTGGATGTGTCTGGTGGTGAAGGTAAAGTCCAATGCTGTAAAGAACAATATTGCATAGGAACCTGGAATGTTAGGTTCATCAATCAAGGTAAGTTGGATGTGGTCAAACAGGAGATGGCAAGAGTGAACATCGACATTTTAGGAATCGATGAACTAAAATAGGTGAGAATGGGTGAATTTAATTCAGAAGACCATTAAATCTACTACTGTGGGCAAGAATCCCTTAGAAGAAATAGAGTAGCCTTCATAGTCTACAGCAGTCCAAAATGCAGTACTTGGGTACAATCTCAAAAACAAGAGAATGATCTCTGTTGTTTCCAAGGCAAACCATTCAGTATTACAGTAATCCAAATCTATGCCCCAATCACTAATGCCAAAGAAGCAGAAGTGGAATGGTTCTATGAAGACCTACAAGACCTTCTAGAACTAACACCAAACAAAGATGTCCTCATCATCACAGGGGACTGGAATGCAAAAGTAGGAAGTCAAGAGATACCTGGAGTAACAGGCATGTTTGGTTGTGGAGTACAAAATGAAGCAGGGCAAAGGCTAACAGAGTTTTGCCAAGAGAACACACTGGTCATAGCAAACAGTCTCTTCCAACAACACAAGAGACGACCCTACACATGGACAACACCAGATGGTCAATACTGAAATCACATTGATTATATTCTTTGTAGCCTAAGGTGGAGAAACTCTATACACTCAGCAGAAACAAGACCTGGAGCTGACTGTGGCTCAGATCATCAGCTCCATATTGCAAAATTCAGGCTTAAACTAAAGAAAATAGGGAAAACCACTAGACCATTCAGGTATGACCTAAATCAAATCCCTTATGATTATACAGTGGAGGTGAGGAAAAGATTCAAGGGATTAGATGTCGTAGACAAGAGTGCCTGGAGAACGATGGATGGAAGTTCGCAACACTGTACAGGAGTGAGGGGGTTAACAGGTAGGAAGGCCAGAGACCCCTAAGAGGCAGGAAGAAATAAACTGCAAGTGGCAGACATTTTTTTCCTTTCTCTACACAAAATTAAGAGGTTTATTTTAATTCTGTGCTGACAATGCCTGGTTCTGCCTGAAATTAACTCTTCTCAAACCTTGAGTTAACCTATGTGGTTTTTCTTATGGAAATGTTTTTCTTAAGCTATGTTAATGAAATTTGCTTTGTAGTCTGCCTTTCTTCAAATTCTGGTCTAAGACTAACCATTTTTTCCTTTTCTTAAACATTGGGCTGATAATGGTTCAACAAACCAGTATTCATGTCAATTGTTTTGTGGCTGGGGATGACACGCCTTGTGCCATTCTATCTCAAAAATGCATATTGTGGGAGAGGGGCCTGGTCAAAATCCCTTAGCCTTGATGTGTTTCTTATATCTGATTAACAGCTTGCCGTGAAATTAAAATGCAAGAAGGCAAAGTGGTTGTCTGAAGAGGCCTTACAAATAGCTAAGAAAAGAAGAGAAGCAAAAGGCGCAAAGGAGAAAGGGAAAGATATACCCTAGTGAATGCAGAGTTTCAGAGAATAGCAAAGAGAGATAAGGAAGGCTTCTTAAGTGAACAATGCAAAGAAACAGGAAAACAACAGATGGGAAAGACTAGAGATCTCTTCAAGAAAACTGGAGATACCAAGGGAACATTTCAAGCAACTGCTACTGCTGCTAAGTCACTTCAGTCGTGTCTGACTCTGTGCGACCCCATAGACGGCAGCCCACCAGGCTCCCCGGTCCCTGGGATTCTCCAGGCAAGAACACTGGAATGGGGTGCCATTTCCTTCTCCAGTGCATGAAAGTGAAAAGTGAAAGTGAAGTCACTCAGTCGTGTCCAACTCTTAGCGACCTCATGGACTGCAGCCCACCAGGCTCCTTTGTCCATGGGATTTTCCAGGCAAGAGTACTGGAGTGGGGTGCCATTGCCTTCTCCAAAGATGGGTTCAACTAACAGAAGCAGAAGATATTAAGAAGAGGTGGCAAGAATACACAGAACTGTATAAAAAAGGTCTTAATGACCTGGATAACCACAATGGTGTGGTCATTCACCTAGAGCCAGACATCCTGGAGTGTGAAGTCAGGTGGGCATTAGGAAGCATTTCTATGAACAAAGGTAGTGGAGGTGATGGAATTCCAGCTGAGCTATTTAATATCCTAAAAGATGATGCTGTTAAAGTGCTGCACTCAACATGCCAGCAAATTTGGAAAACTCAGCAGTGGCCACAGGGCTGGAAAAGGTCAGTTTTCATTCCAATCCCAAAGAAAGGCAATGCCAAGGAATGTTCAAACTCCCACACAATTGCACATGCTAGCAAGATTATGCTCAAAATCCTTCAAGAGTGGCTTCACCAGTATGTGAACCGAGAATTTCCAGTACAATCTGGATTTAGCAAAGGCAGAGGAATCAGCAGTCAAATTGCCAGCATCTTCTGGATCATAGAAAAAGGGAATTCTAAAATTCTAAAATCTGCTTCATTGACTATGCTAAAGCCTTTGTGTGGATCACAACAAACTGTGGAAATTTCTTAAAGAAATGGGAATACCAGACCACCTTACCTCTCTCCTGAGAAACCTACATGCAGAACAAGAAGCAACAGTTAGAACCGGACATGGACCAATGGACTGGTTCAAAATTGGGAAAGGAGTACGTCAAGGCTGTATATTGTCACGTTGCTTATTTAACTTATATGTAGAGTATATCACGTGAAATGCTGGATTGGAAGACTCACAAGCTGGCATCAAGATTGTTGGGAGAAATATCAACCTCAGATATGCAGACCATACCACTTTAATGTCAGAAAGAGAAGAGGAACTAAAGAGTCTCTTGATGAAGGTGAAAGAGGAGAGTGAAAAGCTGTCTTAAAACTCAACATTCAAGAAACAAAGATCATCATCTGGTCCCATCACTTCATGGTAAACAGATGGGGAAAAAGTGGAAACAGTGACAGATCTTTTTTCTTGGGCTCCAAAATCACTGTGGATGGTGACTGCAGTCATGAAATTGAAAGACACTTGCTCCTTGGAAGAAAAGCTATGACAAACCTAGACAGTGTATTAAAAAGCAGACATCAGTTTGCCAACAAAGGTGTGTATAGTCAAATCTATGGTTTTTTTCAGTAGTCATGTATGGATGTGAGAGTTGGACTATAAAGGTTGAGCACTGAAGAATTGATGATGTTGAACTGTGGTGTTGGAGAAGACTCTTGAGAGTCCCTTGGACAGCAAGGAGATCAAACCAGTTAATTCTAAAGGAACTCAACCCTGAATATTCATGGGATGGACTGATGCTGAAGCTGAAACTCTAATATTTTGGTCATCTGATGTGAAGTGTCGACTCATTGGAAAAGACCTTGATGCTGGGAAAGATTGAGGGCAAGAGGAGAAGGGGGTGACAGAGACGAGATGGTTGGATGGCATCGCTGACTCAGTGGCCATGAGTTTAAGCAAGCTCTGGAAGTTGGTGATGGACAGGGAAGCCTGACATGCTACAGTTCTTTGGGTCACAGTTAGACACAACTTAGCATTTGAACAACAACAATGATTTCTTTGCTGTGCACAAGCTTCTAAGTTTGAGTAGATCACATTTGTTTACTTTTGCTTTTATTTATTTTTTTTTGATGTACAGTTCTTTTTTTTCATTCATTTTTATTAGTTGGAGGCTAATTATTTTACAATATTGTAGTGGTTTTTGCCATACATTGACATGAATCAGTCATGGATTTACATGTGTTCCCCATCCTGATCCCCCCTCCCACCTCCCTCCCCATCCCATCCCTCTGGGTTTTCCCAGTGCACCAGCCCTGAGCACTTGTCTCATGCATCCAACCTGGGCTGGTGATCTCTTTCACATTGGACATGTTTCAGTGCTATTCTCTCAGATCATCCCACCCTCGCCTTCTCCCACAGAGTCCAAAAGTCTGTTCTATATATCTGTGTCTCTTTTTCTGTCCTGCATATAGGGTTATTGTTACCATCTTTTAAAATTCCATGTATATGTGTTAGGATACTGTATTGGTATTTATCTTTCTGGCTTACTTCACTCTGTAAAATGGGCTCCAGTTTCATCCATCTCTGTTTACTTTTGCTTTTATTTCTTTTGCCTAGTGAGACTGACCTAAGAAAACATGCTGCAATTTATGTCAGAGAATGTTGCCTATGTTCTCTTCTGGAAGTTTTATGGTGTCATGTCTTATACGACTAAGCGATTTTGAATTTATTTTTGCGTAAGGTGTGAGGAAGTGTTGTAACTTCACTGATTTACACACAGCTATCTAGTTTTCCTAGTACCACATGCTGAAGAGACTGTCTTTACTCTGTTGTATATTCTTGCCTCTTTTGACAAAGATTAATTGACCACAGGTGTGTGGGTTTATTTCCAGACTCTCTTATATTCCATTGACCCATATGTCTGTTTTTTGCCCAACACCATGCTATTCTGATTACTGTAGCTTTTTAAGATTGTCTGAAGTCTAGCAGTGTTATGCCTTCAGCTTTGTTCTTTTTCCTTAGGATTGCTTTGGAATTCTGGGTCTTCTGTGGTTCCATAAAAGTTTTAGGATTAGTTGTTCTAGTTCTGTATAAAATGTTATGGGTAATTTGATAAGGTTCACATTAAATCTGTAGATTGGTTTAGGTAGTATGGCCATTTAAACAATATTAATTCTCCCAATCCAAGAGCATGAGATAGCTTTCTGTTTCTTTGAGTCACTTTCAGTTTCCTTTATCAATGTTTTATAGTTCTCAGCATATAAGTATTTCACCTCTTTGGTCAAGTTTATTCTTTGGTCAAGTATTTTATTTTTTTGACATTTTATTTTAATTAATTAATTTGGTGGCTTGTGGAATCCTTGACCAAGGATTGAACCCAGGCCATGGCAGTGAAAGCCTGTAATCCTAACTATTAGGCCACCAGAACTCCCTGACATAATTTTAAAAAGGACATTTAAAAAATTTTCCCATTCTGATATTTCATTGTTAGTATAAAGAAATGAACAGATTTCTTTATGGTAATCTTGTATCCAGCTACCTTGCTGAATTTATCAGTTCTAGTAGTTTTTGTGTGGAGTCTTTAGGGTTTTCTATATATACAGTATCATATCATCTGCATATAATGAGAGTTTTACCTTTTCTCTTCCAATCTGGATACCTTTTATTTCTTCTTATCATTTCAAAAAACCAGCTCTTAAGGCCCAGGAATAAACCCATGCACCTATGGGTACCTTATTTTTGACAAAGGAGGCAAGAATATACAATGTGGCAAAGACAGCCTCTTCAATAAATGGTGCTGGGAAAGCTGGACAGCTACATGTAAAAGAATGAAATTAGAACACTTCCTAACACCATACACAAACAGAAACTCAAAACGGATTAAAGACCTAAATGTAAGACCAGAAACTATAAAAGTCTTAGAGGAAAACATAGGCAGAACGCTCGATGACATAAATCAAAGCAAGATCCTCTGTGACCCACCTCCTAGAGTAATGGAAATAAAAACAAAAGTAAACAAGTGGGACCTGATTAAACTTGAAAGCTTTTGCACAGCAAAGGAAACTATAAGCAAGGTGAAAAGACAACCCTCAGAATGGGAGAAAATAATAGCAAATGAAACAACTGACAGAGGATTAATTTCCAAAATATACAAGCAGCTCATACAACTCAATGCCAGAAAAACAAACAACCCAATCAAAAAGTGGGAAAAAGACCTATAATAGACATTTCTCCAAAGAAGACATACAGATGGCTAACAAACACATGAAAAGATGCTCAACATTGCTCATTATTAGAGAAATGCAAATCAAAACTACAATGAGATAACACCTCACATGGGTCAGAATGGCCATCATCAAAAAGTCTACAAACAATAAATACTGGAGAGGGTGTGGAGAAAAGGGAATGCTCTTGCACTGTTGGTGGGAATGTAAATTGATACAGCCACTATGGAAGATGGTATGGAGATTCATTAAAAAACTAGGAATAAAACCACCATATGACCCAGCAATCCCATTCCTAGGCATATACCCTGAGGAAACCAAAATTGAAAAAGACACACGTATTCCATTGTTCATTGCAGCACCAGTTACAACAACTAGAACATAGAAGCAACCTAGATATCCACTGACAGATGAATGGATGAAGAAGTTTTGGTACATATACACAATGGAATATTACTCAGCCATAAAAAGAATGCATTTGAGTCAGTTCTAATGAGGTGGATGAACCTAGAACCTATTATACAGAGTGAAGTTAGAAGAGAAAGATAAATATCTCATTCTGACGCATATATATGGAATCTAGAAAAGTAATACTGAAGAATTTACTTAATGGGCAGCAATGGAGAAACAGACATAGAGAATAGACTTGTGGACATGGGGAGAGGGGAGGAGAGGGTGAGATGTATGGAAAGAGTAACATGGAAACTTATATTACCATGTGTAAAATAGATAGCCAACAGGAATTTGCTGTATGGCTAAGGAAACTCAAACAGAGTCTTGTTATCAACCTAGAGGGATGGGATGGAGAGGGAGATGGGAGGGAGTTCTAAAAGGGAGGGGATGTATGTATACCTATGGCTGATTCATTCCCTGGTGGCTCAGATGGTAAAGCATCTGCCCGCAATTCAGAGACCTGGGTTTGGCCCCTGGGTTGGGAAGATCCCCTGGAGAAGGAAATGGCAACCTACTGCAGTATTCGTGCCCAGAAAATCCCATGGACAGAGGACCCTGGTAGGCTACAGTACCTGGGGTCGCAAGAGTCGGACACGACTGAGCAACTTCACTTTTCATGGCTGATTCGTGTTGAGGTTTGACAGAAAACAACAAAATTCTGTAAAGCAATTATCCTTCAAAAACAAAAAAGAACCAGCTCTCAATTTTATTTTTTCCTATTGTTTTTAAAATTGCTACTTTATTTCCTCTCTGATTGATAGGGTACGGTGAATGGTGTCAGATTCTTGATCTCCAAAGATTTAGCTTCGTGACCACAGACCAGGCTTGATTACTCAGGAGCCTTTGCATAGCAGAGTTTTATTAAAGTATAAGGGACAGAGAAAGCTTCTGACATAGACATCAGAAGGGGGACGGAGAGTGCCCCCCTGGCTAGTTAGTCTTAGCAAAGGAAATTATATACTTTTTAAATTGGTTATTACAATAAATCAAAAGACTGTCTCAAGGTTGAAAGATCTTACTAGACCCAGTCCCCAAATTTACATTTTAAGATGACAGGATTAGAACTAACAATAGAAAGATCTTACCAAACCCACTCCCATAATATACATTCTAAAATAACAGGATTAGTCAGAAGGCTTTCAAGGAGAAACTGTCCTCAAGCAGGATACATGGTTGTTAAATAATCCTTAGTACAGAGTGTAAACTGAGTTGTTTGTTGTGTAATCATTAGTTCCTGGCTTAAAGAAAAAAATGTTTTATGTGACTAGACTAAGGAATGTAGAGAGAGAGAAAAAAAATTTTATCCTTTTCTCCTCCTTGAGAACCCCAGACCCCTCTCTCCTCCTCAGGGACCCTGGACTTCTTATCAACCTGCCTAGGAATTGACTTTCTCATGATCTTTATTATTTCAAATACTTCCTTCTGCTTACTTTAGAGGACTTCACTGGCAGTCCAGTGGTTAAGACTCTGATTCCACTGCAAGGGGCATGGGTTCAATCCCTGGTCAGGGAATAAGATCTCACAAACTTCCCAAGTAGCTCTAGTGGCAAAGAACCCATCTGCTAATGCAGGAGATGTTAAGAGACGCAAGTTTGACCTGTGGGTTGGGAAGATACTCTGGAGGAAGGCATGGCAACCCACTCCAATATTCTTGCCTGGAGAATCCCATGGACAGGGTAACCTGGTGGGCTGTAGTCCAGTGGGTCACAGGGTCGGACATGATTGAGGGACTTAGCAGCAGCCACAGCTAATTTGAGATTTTGATTGTTCTTTTTCTAATTCTTTTAGGGGTAGGTTATGTTGTTTGCAAATTTTCTTGCTTTTTGAGGAAAGTCTCTATTGCTCTGAATTGCTCTATATTCCCTCTTTTGGACTGCTTTTGCTGTAGATATTGTATGGTTGTATTTTCATTGTCATTTGTCTCAAAGCATTTTTTAATTTCCTCTTTGATTTCCTCATTGACCCATTGGGTTTTTAATAGGGTATTGTTTAGGCTCCGTGTAATCATTTTTTTCCTCATTTCTTTTTCTGTGGTTGATTTCTAGTTTCATGCTGTTGAGGTCAGAAAAGATGCTTGAAATGATTAAATTTATCTTAAATTTCTTAAGGCTTGTTGCCTATCCTAGAGAACATTCCATGTGCAACTGAAAAGACCATGTATTCTGTAGGTTTTTTAAAATTCAATATCCTAAAAATATCAATTAAGTCTTAACTGTTCTACTGTGTCATTTAGAATATGTTACCTTACTGATTTTCTGTCTGGAAGATCTGTCCACTGATGTTGGTGGGGTGTTAAAAGTCTCCTACTATTATTGTATTGAATTCCTGTCAATTTCTCCCTTATGTCTGTGTTTGTTTTATGTATTTAGGTGCTCCTATATTGAATGTATATATGTTAGCAAGTGTAATATCCTCTTCTTGTATTGATCTTTTTATCATTATATAGTAGTTTTCTTTATGGTCTTTGTTTTAAAGTCTATTTTGTCTGATATGAGTATTGCTGTCCCCACTTTGCTGTCATTTCCATTTACATTAAGTATCTTTTTCCACCTCCTTACCTTCAATCTGTGTGTTCTTCACCCTACAGAGGGTCTCTTGAGGGCAGCGCATTGTAGGCTTTTCTTTTATTATCCAACTTGCCATTCTATGTCTTGACTGGAGCAGTTAGTCCATTGACATTTAAGGTGATTATTGGCAGACATATGTTAATTGTCGTTTTAAACCTTGTTTTCCAGTTGATTTTGCATTTCTTCTTTGTTCTTTTATCCTTTTAGGGTTTGATGGTTTTATTTTATGCTTGTGTTCTCTTTTTGGTTTTTGTGAATCTATTGTATGTTTTTGATTTGTGATTACCTTGCTTTTCAAGTGTGTTAACCCATTACTATATCTACTTGCTTTAGACTGATAGTCATATAACCTCAGACGCAGTCTTAAAAAAAACTACATTTTCTTAAAAAAAAAAAACTACATTTTCTTATGTCCCCACCCAACATTTTATGATTTTTATGTCTTCTTTTAAAACTTCATGTTTATCCTTTTGTTGTTCATTAGGTTATAATCACGCTCACAATTTTTTAAAAATTTTTATTTAAAAAAAACCTGTGTGGTGGCTTATTTAAGTGATTTACTTTTTGTTTTATTAATTATATTGGAGTATAGTTGCTTTACAATGTTGTTTTAGTTTCAGGCATATAGCATAATGATTCAGTTACACATATATTCATTCTTTTTCAGATTCTTTTTCCACATGGGTTATCACAGAATATTGAGTAGAGTTCCCAGTGGGTCTTTGTTGATTATCTCTTTTATGTATTGTGGTGTACATATGTTAATCTCAAGTTCTTTTTTCTTCCCCCCTACCCCAGGTTTCCCTTTTGGTAATCATAAGCTTGTTTTCGAAATCTGTGAGTCTGTTTCTTTTTTTTTAAATAAGTTAATTTATAACATTAAAAATTAGACTCCACATGAGTGGTGCATGCCTGCTAAGTCACTTCAGTTGTATCTGACTCTGTGTGACCTACGACTGTAGCTCGCCAGGTTCCTCTGTCCATGGGATTCTCCAAGCAAGAATACTGGAGTGGGTTGCCATGCCCTCCTCCAGGGGACCTTCTCAACCCAAGGATAGAAGCTGCATCACGTATGTCTCCTGCATTAGCAGGTGGGTTCTTTACCACTAGTACCACCAGGGAAGGCCCCACCTGAGTATCATATTATATTTGTCTTTCTTTCTTACCTAACTTAATATGATAATCTATAGCTCCATCCATGTTGCTATAAATAGTATTATTTATATACTTATTATTATATATTTGTATACTTTTTAATGGCTAAATAGTATTCCAGTGTATATGTACCACATCTTCTTTTAAGTGATTCATTTTCTTATTGTGATTTTCTTTTTCCTGTAGACTTTTATTTTCTATTTAGACAAGATCTTTTAATATTTCTTTTAGGATATGTGTAGTATTGTTGTATTCTTTTAGTTTTTGTCTGAGAAATTCTTTATCTCTCCTTCTGTTCTAAATGATAACCTTGCTGGGTAGAATATCCTAGGTTGTAGGCTTTTACCTTTCAGGACTATGAATATATCTTGTCACTCCCTTTGACCTGCAACATTTCTGTAAAGAAATCAGCTGATGGACTAGTAAGTTCCCTTGTGAGTAATGTTTTGCTTTTAATATGCTTTTCTCTTGCTGCCTTTAGAATCCTCTCTTTAACTTTTGCCATTTTTATTATAATACATCTTGGTGTAGGTCTATTTTGGCTCATCTTCTTTGGGTTCCTCTGTGCCTCCTGTACCTGGACATCCATTTTCTTCTTTAGGTTTGGAAAATTTTCAGCCATAGTTTCTTCAGATACATTTTCAATCCCCTTTTCTCTTTTTTCTCCTTCTGGGATCCCTAACATGTGTAGATTGGCTTTCTTTTATATTATCCCTTAGGTCTCATATATTACTTTTATTGAAAATTTTTTGTCTATTTGCTGTTCTAATTGGGTAATTTCTATTACTGTATGTTCCGGATCACTTATTCATTCTTCTGCACTATTTGGTTTGCTGTTTATTGCCATTAGCTCAGGTTTCATCTTGGCAGGTGAGTCTAATTTTGATCTGCTCCTTGTTATTCTTGTAATTCTAATTCCTTGTTACAGTCATCTGCTTTTTAAATCAATAGCCCTTCTTATTTCCTTCAGTATTTTTATTACCTCCTTTTTGAACTTGCAGTCTCATGGACTGGAAAGGACTGTTACATTGTTCTTTCCTGGGAATTATCCTGACCTTTTAATTGAGAGCGGTTCCTCCACTTCTTCATTTTACTTATATTCCTCTGTGTGTGTGTTAAGTTGCCCAGTCATGTCCAACTCTTTGCGACTTCATGGACTGTAGCCTGCCAGGCTTCTCTGTCCATAGGACTCTCCAGGCAAGAATACTGAAGTGGGTTGCCACTCCCTTCTCTGGGCGATCTTCCTGACCCAGGGATCAAACC